GCGGCGGGGGCGCCAGACTCACCGGGCTCACCGGGGACACCACGTCCCGCTCCGACACGGCCGAGTCCCGAGAGGAACATCGCGGTGGTATCGACGAGCATCTCGAGTACGGGGGGCTTACGGCCTCGCTGAAACAACAAGAGAAAATACAACATCAGAATCCGCATTTAATGACACAACATTCAAAATATGGAAACTGATTTGTGACCGTCCGCAGAAGAACGGACGTTTGTCCGCGGACAGAGGTATGCAGACAGAAGGTCTACAGCAAAAATTTCCACAAGCAGAAAGTCTACATTTTTTGGTCTACGTTTACAATGTTTAGAACCAAAAAGTCCACTGCGAAAATGTCTACAAATAATAATGTCTTCTAAAAAAAGTCCATACTCAGAAAGTTCACTTCTGAATGGAATGGGTAGAGTGAACTCACATCAGTTACTCCTTTAGTTGTATCTATGGATAAGAATCATCGTGTATTCATTTCCCTTTGATAGACGCGTTATATGTAGACATTTACTTTCTTGGGCGTTCTAAAAGTAGACTTCTTAATTGTAGAAATTTTGACTGTAGACCAAAAACTGTAGGCATTTTTTGAGTAGACCTTTTTTTCGTAGACCTACTGTCCGTGATTCCGGACAGAGATGCAAAATTGTAAGAAATTTTGTAAAATGAAAGTTCATGAGAATTATTAATACTTCTGTAATGGACTAAGTAAACCATGAAACGCATGGAGATAGCAAAATCTTTATTTTTGAAATTTTGAGAGAGGAAATATGAGGCACTTGGAGGACAAGAAGCATAAGTGCAGTTTTGCTAATTGAAGACAAACGAATCCAAGGTTTCTAAATTTTGTGAGGCCTTACGGAGCGACGAGAAGAAAGTTCAAACTCACATTTTGATGCTTAAAATTTGGATTTTATGAGTGAATTTTTCGCAGAATTTATATAAAACAGCCTAGATTTCGATGACATCTCTAATATTGCAATTTCTTTTGAAATTGCCTTGTGCGCCTTGTCCTCCAAGCCCCCCTCATATCATAAATCAAATTTCAATGTTGTAAGAAATTTACCATTTAATCTATTGAATGAAAATCATTTTTCAATCAGCAAATACTATATTGCATCAAAATAGTGCCACTCATCATTCTTTCACTTCATTCTACTCATTATAAGCATAAAATTGTCTGATTCTTACTGCTAAGAGGGAAACGAGCTTTAGACAACACATGAACTCAAATCCGGAGATCAACGCTGTTTTTCGCCTAATGAAGGTTGATGAGCAAATTATTGTTGATCGAAAAATTAAAATAAATTAGCACAATGATGAGTGATGAGAGTCGCGGTGGGAACTTTGCTGGGCGCGTTCTTAAAAATTTGGTTAGGATTGCTAAAATAATAGAGAATTTGCACGCAAAGTTTTTATTGCTTCATATGAGAGTGCTTACTGAGCTGAGTTCGCAGTATTTTTCATAATTTTTGGCTGAAATGGAGAATTAGAGAAAAATAGATTCAAAAGTGAAAAAATGTGCCGCTTGGTGACGTTATCCGGCGACATTTCCCATTCAGATACATCTATTTTTGTAGATAAGTTATTTAATCATATTTTTCGAATGGAAAACTGCTCAAAGTCAATCCTTGAAATTGTCGGTGATTTTTCTTCTCTGTGCGAAGAAAACTCTGCGAAAATTTCAAGAAATGATATTGATTAGTTCTCTTTCAAAAAAATAAAATGGGAGCGGAGATTTTTTGAACGCCGCAAACGAAATACGTGGTCAGGTAGTTTCACCGTCAATATGTTGTTTCTAAACTGAGCCAGAAATAGTGGTTCCTATTTGCAAAATGCGGCCCAAATATGCTTCATCTGCCTGGGCAAACTGTGCAGTGGCGAAGGGTGAATGATCGATTATCGATATTTTCCCATTTGAAGCTATGGTAAAGAACCGATTATTGAGGTATTCCCTGTTTATCGATCCTTTTCCACAGGTTAAAATGACAGATCAATCGATACAGGAACTATGGGCTAATTCGGGGTGGATTCTCACCTTAACATGGTAGAATCACGGTTTATCTCCTCCCGTGGGCCGGAGAAAGGGGATGCTGGCTCGGAAAGCGAAGCGGCGCTGGAGGCACCTTCGTCGTCCTCATCCTCGTCCTGGTCGCCGGAATCCAAGCCCTGCATCTCCGCGTCTGCCGGCGGCTCTTGCCCGTCGGCGCATTCCCCTGAAACATACAAATCAAACAGTCAGAAACAGAGCATACCATCAATGGATCCGAAAGTTGGCAACATTGTTTTTTCCCATTTGAACCTACACATGTATCGATTATCGAAGAAGTCAGATGCTTAGACAAGAATCGATTATCAGGGTGTCTACTATAACAGGCTGCCGAAGAATCAGAACTTTTTCACTACATTCCCAAGAAATTCAGTACCTCCTCAACAGAAAAGTTCAGTTCTTTTTCAGTACCTTCAATTGACGAAATTCAAAAAATTTCAAAAATTTGAATTCCTCGCTCAAATTGCGACATAAAATGACAAATAATTCCGGGCCTTCTTGCAGAATTGTCGCACTTTTTCAGTACTTCCGGACCGCTCTTAAAAAATCCGTACTATTCCCGGACTTGTAGACACCTTGATAATTCAATACACACTGGAAAAAATTATTTCGGATCCAGAATAAGGACTCTTATAAAATAGATCAGAAAATATACACTTGATTCAATCAGATTTTTGCTTGAATCGAGAGCCAATCCTGTAAATTAAAGCGGATTTTCTTTTGATTCAAACTGAATCCAATTGAATCAAGAGTATTTTTCCTCAACGTTTTTAAGCGTCTGGACTCTGGATCCAAGAGAATTCTTTTTTTTAAAACAAGCATTTAAACAACCATTGTAGTCCCTCGTAAGGATCCATCTTCAGATATTCCCCACGGAAAAAAAATTAGGTAGAATTTACCATATCCTCGTTAATAAACGGCGCAACCAAAAAGTATGGTAACTTTCATCAAAATTACCGCGAAAGTTACAGGATATTTCCTTGTTGTGACGATAATTTTGATGGCAGTTACCATACTGTCTGGTTGTGCCGTTTTTCAACCAGAGTATGGTATTTGCTATCCAACTTTTTTCCCGTGCCTAGTGAATTCTACCCCAGGTTTGTAAAAATTGTCTTTCTTTATAATGTTATGCTAAAGGTCTCCTTAAACCTCCATTGATCACAATGTAAACCATACAGGGTCTTCTTAAAGAAAGGAGCCGTGTAAGAAACAACTATGAATACGACCCTGAGCCTGAATCATAGTGCAGCGGAGGGTCCCGCGCTGAAATGGTAATGTATTCACGGAGCACATTCGCGCTAGGCCTTCTGGAAGAGAGGCCGGCACCGGAGCCCCGACCTAGGACAACTTCGTGATCTATCGTCGAGCGCAGAGCCTGCGTCGCGACGGAGAACCGCACGACTCTGCACCCGCACGTCGCGACGTCATTGGTCCGGATGGCTCAGGCTCCTGGTCCTCCTGGCTCTTGGTCCCTGGGGCCGGATGCTGGCTCCTGGATATACCAACACCTAGCCGGTAGCCCCGCGACCTTCCTCGCTTCTTTCATCCCGCGGTTTTTTTTTCGCGTTTGCGTGCCCGTGCCCCCGGCCGGATTTATACGGGGCTGAAAATGAAGCGCGGGTAAATGGGCAATATATTATTTGTTTGAACTCGGTGTCATTTGTAAGACAATGCGAGTCACGGGCCGTGCTCACCTGGTAGCATAAATATCGGCTACCGTTTCCCCGACCATAACTTACTCCGCGGATGACATTTCAATACGGACGCCGGCCGGGTCCCGCCTCCGGTCCGCAGCGCACCAACGACCGCATTCCGCCCGTCGCCGTCCGACCAATGCCTCCCCGATCCTTTTTTCCCTCCTTTATTTCGCGCTTAATTATTATCGCTTGCCCCCCCCCCTTTCTCACGATTCCTCGCCCTCCTGCTACCATAGTGTTCGCCCCTCCCCCCGCTCCTCACATTCCGCAGCGGTTATTTTCCACTAGTTTTACTCCTTCGACCAGATTCGCGCGCTCAATAACTTCTTTTTTCCCCCCGGCCTGCGTTTTTCGACGCGACGCGATGTTCGCGTCCAATACAATTCAGCATTGTTTGACGGGCCATTAATTCCGCGCGACTCCTCGCCTGTCCCCGCGATCTAGATAGCGACGGGCGCATCCCGGAGCTTTCGAAGATTATAAATTTTATTATTGTTCGCTACGTCTTTATCATAACAATCAGCAGACTTGTTAAGTCACCTGACTCTTTAAATCAATCTCCTTGTAATTGCTGTCCGGGCGTTTTGTACCGGGGTCTGTCGTTTTGAAAAATGTGAGGTATTTTGGTTATTTTTCTTCGTCACCTCGCGACGGATTTCTCGGGCGCTTTCCTACACCTGCTTTCCGATCCTCTTACGTGTCGGTAGAGCAGTTCGATTCCTTTTTCATTTTTATTTTTTTAGCTTGTACTTACACGAAGAGCTCTACTATACTGATACTGCATGAACAGACTTCCAACCCCCTTCCCTTCCCATCTGAAAAATTATTCTAACGTCTGGAACCTACCACCGAGCGTTGCATGTACTGATTGTATGCATTCAGTAAATGATGTTAAACCCTCCTTCTCTCCTCGTTTATGGCTGAGTACGAGGCAATTCTTCATGAATGTTCGATGAGAGATCCTACGAGGTAGTATAAGCATGTAAAATGTTTTTGATACATATATGTTTAACTTCGGTGTGGGCGGTAAAGTATCACCTACCTAGCTAGGAGTTTGAAATTCCTGTTAAATACTCAGCTAACAAAAGAGAAAAATCAGGAGATTTTTTAAGAAACTTCGTGGACTAGTTTTCAAAAGCAAAAATAAAAGGAATAAGCAGTCTGCAACGTCGCAAATGGAGATAAGGGGTTCCGAACTTTGGCCATCGATTTACACTACTGCCGTGCTAAGGAAGAACACCGCATGAGCCTTCAGACGTTGCCAAGTTTCCTCCGATAAAAGCCGAAATTACCGGGAAAATTGTGAATATTATTTCTTAAATTTTCAGACAATTTTGTACACAATTCAATCTAGAATATCTGAAAATTCCAAGGAAAAATATGCATTAATTTTGTCAAAAATACAGGTTTTATCAATGGAAATTTGGCAACTCCCGAATGTTCATACAGCGTTCTTCCTTGGCACGGCAGTACAGGTGAGTGGCGCAGAAAATTTACCGCCCTGCGAAGAGCAGAGATCCATATTTTGTCATATGTTCACTGACTGCAAAATAAAATTCTCCTTGTTTCAAAGAATAAGATACACTTTACATAAGAGCCAAAATTGAAGCATTTATGCTGATGGTTACAGAAAAATTTTCGAGCTCCCATTGGGACTCTTAATATTAAACACACTGCATTTGCGTTTTACCGTTAGTTGGAAATCCTGCACTTACAGCCGACTGACTTAGCACGGCAGAATATACGTTAGCGCCTTCAAGGGCGTAACTCAATTTCCGTATGAGCCCCAGAAATCATAGATTTACATGAAAAATAGGACTCACGTGGAAATCAAGTAATACTCCTTAAAGCATCAGACGAGCGACGCACAGTGGATTGAGTCAATTAGAGAGATCGGACATGAAATTTTTGCTAAAACTGCAAATTCTGATGTTTATTTCCTCACATTTAAAATTATAAGGGGTGCTATTAAAAGAAAATTTCACTGGGAAACGAATGAAACCACTTTTAGAACCTCAAAGTTTTGTTTAAACGAAGTTATGAGCGTTTCAAGTTTCGAAATTTTGTCCGACCTCTCCTATCGACTCGTTCCAACGTGCGACGGTTCGTCGGCTTCGGTGCGTGATGGTGGAAAACATCGAAACGATGCAATACATGATACTTAGCAGCGACGAGTGGATAATCGGCGAGGCATACGAACTCGCGGTCGTCGCCGGAACATAAAGCTTATTTTACAACGGGACGTATTTATGCTGAAAGGGATTATGTGCATGGGATCCGCGCGTAACATAGTTCCTTTTAGCCTAACAGTCCCTTCGTGCACAATTTCTCAGGATCTCGCGAGCAAGACTTCGGTGCTCAATCGTCAATGTATGGCTCACTCTTGAAAGACATCCACGCTCATGTTCTTCGGAATCTTAGATTTATCTAACGTTATTTCGTCGCCCTCCCGACAAAACCGCTCAACTCCCCTTCGCAACGAGCCCCGTCACCATATACCTCAATGCTCTCCTTGAATCTACTTACGCGCTTTTGTCAACCGAGCGAGGATTTCACGTTCGTTCCCGCGCAATGAACAAACACGGCGTCCATTTTGCGCACGCATAATCCTTATCTTTAAGATCACACCTCCTCGTGCAACCGCAATATGCATGCTAAAACAACGCGTCTCGACGCTCCCGCAGCAGGTATTCTTACGGATCCAGAAATGGCACATACGTCTTTTTAGCCGAGCGTGAAGGTGGAAGCACTTTGAAGCGAGCATACCAATCTCCGGCGGGGAGGTATTACGCGACTAATAATTAATGGTAATCAATCGGGTCTTAAATTGCTAGCATGGTTGCGCGATTGCACGAAAATAGACGAAATATTGGTAGGGGATCGTTGGAATTCGGCCCGGTCTGGCGACGGTGCAATCGGTCGTTTTCGTTTATTTGTATCATTTGTATCTATTTCTTCCTATTTCAGCCGAGCCGCCTTTCTTTTTTTTCCTGAGAACTTTGATGCTGGATCTCGCTACGAGTCTCCATTTATCTTTCGGTCATCTAAGCTCTCTCGAGGGAGACTCATTTTGACGTCATGAGCAGGGCGTACCTCAATTTACGCTTGAGCTTTGGAGAGAGTGGAGTCGGATGGCCATCAGGGCTCACCTCAAAAAGTAAGTTACGTCTTTACGTCAAAAGAACGGCGATTTCTTGGCTCTCGATTAGCTTTGTTCAGCTACCATTTCAGCGGACGCGTCAAAGCGAGTACCTGTCCAGAAGTTAATCGGGAACATTTACAAAATCGATTTTTGGAATTACAATAAAGACTTCCTTATTTTTAGCTTTTTCCCTTAAAATCACCTACTTCAGATTTACATCCCCTTGAATTTTGGGCCTAAAACCCGGGTTTTTTCCGCCTTGCTTTTGACGATAATTATGAATGAAAATGCGAGAAAATTGACGATTCTGTGTTCTTTTACACGCGG